GTTGAATTTGTTGGGGTCACTAATTGTAGATTTTTTTTTCCTTTTTCACTTAGAATTCTGCCTAATGTTTCTATAATGTTCTTCGTATAATTTTAAAAATTGCCTTTAAAAATCTCCTCAGGGAAAAGGAGAGAAAGCAGGAAGCGGAGAGGAGGAGGGAGAAGATGTGGATTCTCCCAGAAGCAGGGTCTGCAGGAAAAGAGTTCAGAGGCAATCTGAACACATGGGCACAGTCCCAGCTGGATCTTCTATGTGGGTGGCCCCAGAGGCTGCATCCCCTCTGTTCTCTGACTCAAGAGTAATCAGGTGGACCAAAATCGTTGCCTAAGTTAGGGAGACAGTACGTTAGCTGACAATAAAGTGAGGGTTAAGAGTGTTCTCCAGGGCTTCCCTGGTGGCGCAGTGGTTAAGAATCTGCCTGCCAATGCAGGGGACATGGGTTCGAGCCCTGGTCCGGGAAGATCCCACATGCCGCGGAGCAACTAAGCCCGTGTACCACAACTACTTAGCCTGCGCTCTAGAGCCCACGAGCCACAACTACTGAGCCCACGCGCCACAACTATTGAAGCCCGCGTGCCTGGAGCCTGTGCTCTGCAACAAGAGAAGCCACCGCAATGAGAAGCCCACGCATCGCAATGAAGAGCAGACCCCGCTCGCTGCAACTAGAGAAAGCCCGCGGGCAGCAACGAAGACCCAACGCAGCCAAAAATAAATATAAATCTATTAAAAATAAATAAAAAGTGTTCTCCAGATTGGAATCATTTGGAAAAATTGATCATGCTTGCTATTGACGACCAGCAGGCTGGCAAGGGCATGAACCGCCAGGCCTCCTGGAAGGCAGTTTGGCACAGTGTATCCAAACAAAGAAGGCGTGTCTCCTCAGAGTCAGCAATCCCACGCCTTGGGATTTAGGAAATGATCAAGCCAGTGCATAAAAATATTTACATAAGATGTTCGTTACAGCGTTTATAAAAATACAAAATTAAACCCTCTGTTTCACCAAAAAGGAATCGGTAAACTAAATTTCGGGATCACCATGCAGTGGTACACTAGGAAGCTACACTGAAAAAATAGGATGTAGATACAAATTTGACATGAAAAAATGCCCACCACATCTGAGGTAGAATAAGAAGGCTCCAAAGCAAGATACGCATGTTCCCCTTTTTGTAAGAGTGTCTATCTAAAGATGTTCATTTGCGTGTAAGAATTCCTGCTAAGATACAGACCAAGGTCTAAAAGAAGTTAATATTTGAATGGTGGGATTACAAACTGGATCAGGCAGTTTACTCTCAATTATATTGTTGCAGTAACAAACAACCCCAAATCTACTGGTTTACAGCAGTGAGTGTTGCCGTCCCACTCCCGCTCCTGTCTGGTGAGTCAGCCGCTCCCCAGCCCAACGCCTTCTTCACTCTAGGACCCAGGTGGATGGAACAGCCTCTGTTTGAACCCTGCAGGTCTCTGTGGTGGAGGAAGGAGACGGTGGACCAGGCACTGGCTCTTACAATCTGTGCTGGGCAAGTCTTATGGCCCTTCCCAGGTTCAACGGGGCAGGGATATATAATGGTAAACATTTTGAACAATAAAACAAGCCACCACATAAGTTATCTCATCCTAGTCTTAGTCCATTCAGGCTGCTATAACAAAAACACGATAGCCTGCGTAGCTTAAACAACAAACGTTTATTTCTCACAGTTCTGAAGGCTGGGAAGTCCAAGATCAAGGTGCCAGGAGATTTGGTGTCTGGTGAGGGCCTGATTCCTGGTTCGTAGCTGTCTGTCTTCCCTCTGTGTCTTCACAGGGGAGACGGGGCCAGGGAGCTCTCTGAGGTCTCTTTCATAAGTGCACTAATCCCATTCAAGAGGTCTCCACCTTCATGACCTAATCACCTCCCAAAGGCCCCACCTCTGAATACTATCCCCCTAGGGATGAGGTTTCCACATATGAACTCTGAGGGGAACACATTCAGTTTATAGCAATCCTATTACTTAAAGTCCTTTCTTTGCAGAATGCAGTTCTTTCCCAGGAAGTGGATGGTCTCATGGAGATGGGACTTGTGGGTTCTCCAGGAGAGAAAATACAGACACCGAGACCAAGCACCAGGCAGAGATGGCAGCTTCAAGCCTGAGGCAGAGGGGCCAGAGAGAGTCAGGATTTTGCTTAACTTTTTTTTTTTTTTTTTTTTTGCAGTATGCGGGCCTCTCACTGTTGTGGCCTCTCCCGTTGTGGAGCACAGGGTCCGGACACGCAGGCTCAGCGGCCATGGCTCACGGGCCTAGCCACTCCGCGGCACGTGGGATCTTCCCAAACCAGGGCACGAACCTGTGTCCCCTGCATCGGCAGGCGGACTCTCAACCACTGCACCACCAGGGAAGCCCAGGATTTTGCTTAATTTAAGAGACAGGTCAACCAACCTGACCCACAGTAAGAATAAAACAACGTGACAGAAAGTTCTAGATGTCCAGAAGTATTATGCCAGTTCTCTTACTTACTACTTATATGACTTGAGTCAAGTTAGAGGGCCTCTTTGAATGTCCGCATACATAAAATGCAAATTAAAATAGCTGTCCTGCTTACTTTACTCTATTTGATTGGGCATGGGGGCAGGGGCTCTGTGGTCAGCCCTAAAATTGTCAGCACTCTAGGTGGGGAAGGTTTGGGCCTTCAAGCTGTAACCACACACTCATACATTACATTTCCCCAAATCCTCTCATCACCTCATCATCACAGTAGCTTGTTCACTGCTCTTATTTGTGTCCGTACGCTTTTCAACAGGACAGGTGAAAAGATGACAACAGAAGCCTCCATATGGAGGAGGAGACCCCTTTGATGGATGAACCCAGGAAGGTCTGGATGCAGAGAGAAGGACCTCACTCCACTTGGTCAGGTCTGGAACTAGCCTTGTTCCCCTTTTTTCTCCTGATCCCAGCCTCTCAGGATGGAAGATGACAGGGCTTCTCAAACCGGCCTGATCACTAGAGCCACTTAGGAAACATTTAAAAACTAGATTCCTGGGCTCCACCTTCCAGAGACTCTGATTCACCTGGTGAGGGTGGGAGGCTGAGTCACAGAAGGTGACCTGTGCCATCCCCACCTGGCTCCCATCCAGCCCCTCTGCACAGGCCTCGTGTGGTGCCCCAGCAGGGAGGGCCCAGGCATCTCAGGTGGCACGAGCCCTGACAGCTGGGAGAAACCTGAGTGGGCCCAGGTTATCTGATGGCGCACCTGCTCTGGCCCCGTGCTCACATCTTGAATATCAAGATCAGGGGAAGGCTTGAGAAGAGGCTCCGCAGGCAGCACAGATCACCCCGCAAGCTGCGCAGGGGCCAAAGGAGGTAGTAAGAAAAAAGCATTTCCCCTTTCCTGCTCCCAGCCCCTCAGAACCAAATGCACTGCAGGCTTCCACAGCCCATCTACACACCTTTACTGATAACCCTGGAGTTTATCTCTTCACACATCTATCAACATGGTGGCGAGTTCCTCGAGGGCTGGGACAGGTCTTATTCCTCTCTGCATGCCGCTCAGGGCCTGGCACACTATTAGTGCTTGCTGAATATTTCATAAATAAAGGAGAGGGAGTTAACACTTACCATGTTACCACAGGTCAAAGAAGGACTGATATTCACACCCACCAGGCACATGGGAAATGCACGTGCTCACCTCTGAGGGGTGGGGGGAACCCTATCCTTAGTCACCCAGCTAGAGACTGAGCTTAGCATGCCCTGATTTGCAAGCGTACTAAATTACCTTTGACATCAGGGTACCCTTTGATATGATAAGTTATGCAGCCTCTTGACAGGAAAATGCCTCCCTCCCCACCGCCCCCCAAACCCTGCATAGAATTTATAGGTTATCAGCCCTTCAAAAAAAGGGGAAAGCTCTTTTTTTTTTTTTTTTTTTTTTTTTTGTATGGGGCGGCTTGCAGGATCCTAGCTCCCCAACCAAGGATCGAACCCAGGCCCTCATCAGTGAAAGCACAGAGTCCTAACCACTGGACCACCAGGGAATTCCCTGAAAGCTCATTCTTGTCTGAGGAATACTGTTCTGTTCTCCCGTTGCGGAGCACAGGCTACGGACGCGCAGGCTCAGCCCATGGCTCACGGGCCCAGCCGCTCTGCAGCATGTGGGATCCTCCCGGACCGGGACACGAACCCGCGTCCCCTGCAATGGCAGACGGACTCTCAACCACTGCGCCACCAGAGAAGCCCCGAAAGCTCTTTTTTTAATGGATGCATGCCAGTTAATAAACATAGATGGAATGACAGAGTCAGAAATTAACATTTTGCAACCCCCAATCTAATCATTGATTTAGGCAAGGATCACTGATGAATGCTAAGACCACTGGGCAAATGACTGTCAGGAAGGAATCTCAGCCCTAGACAAAGGCTCAAGCCCCCAAATCAGGATCCCACACTCCAGGAAAAAGCCCAGAGAAAGGATAAGACCACAGTCAAGGCAGGCTCCAGATGGGTTTATTAAGGCCAGGGGGGAATTACCAGGCTCTGATCTTTCCTGAATTCTCCCCTCTCCTTTCCCTCTTAGCTCCCCCCACCTTCACTCTCTCAAGGGAAAAGGCTGCAGTGGGGAGGGGAATGGGGGGCACTCTGGCAGTACTGTGAGGCTCCTGACACCCAAACATATCCTGGCTGCCGAAAGGGAAGAGGCAAGGCTTGCTCTGATCTTTCCCACTGTTCTCAGAGTCCAGCAGGCTGCTGCGCTGGACATCCGTGTCCTGTCCTGTACTGTAGGAGCAGGAAGCCTGAGCGCTCTATTTCTCAGCATCTCTTGCCAGCCAGGATTTGTTTAGAGTCTACTGATGAGAGGCACCCACAGAAACCACTACTCCTTCTCTGGCAGTGGTGGGTACACTTGATGCCAGTTCCCAGACCAGAAATGTCCTCCCATCTGCCTCACTGTAGCCATTCCCCTGGGGATGCCAGGGCTGGGCAGTGACCAGAGCCAGGACAGCATCTGCCAGTGGAGATGGCAGTGTCACTGGGACACAGGAACATGTGATTATACTCTTGGCACAGGGGAGGGAGTTCTCTGCTGCCAGGCCTCTTGGAGCCGAGATAGAAGGGTCGGCAACATGGAGTCCAGCACAGCCAGCCCCTCCCAGGAACAGCGAAGACCCCTGGAAAAACAAAGAGGCCTGGCTGTGACTGTGCCCTCTTACCAGTTTCAATCATCACCCTCCACCAGTGCCAAGGCCCTGGCACCCACAGGTCCCTCCTTGTGCGTCTTTCTCACCTCCCCCCACCCAACACACCTGCAATCCAGCAGCAAGCGGCCCTGCTCCAGCAGCTCCTGCACCTCCTTGTTAGCTACAAACAGGTCCCACAAGGTCAGCTGGGGCTCAAACTGCTGCCAGTGCTGGGGAGACCAGAAGGGGAAGAGATGCAGGGACCACAAGGTGGGGAGCTGGCGGGGCTATTCTAGGCCACCTGCCTGGGGGTGCAGTGAGGGATGAGGGGTGGGTCCAATCCAACACAGGGATCTCAGAAACTGACTGTCATGCACACCAGGACCAGGCCAGTGGACCAGCAGGGAGGTGGGCACCTTCAGTCCTATTCCACGTTCAGGCCAAACCCAGCTCCCAGCCAAGCCAGGTCTCCCTTGGCTCCTCCCCTCCCCCTGTTCTGGTCAGAGTATGGTCAGCCCCAGCCAGAGCTCGATGGCTCTGACTTCATCCAGAGCAGTTGCTAGCTTGACTGATCTTTATCTACCGCACTTCCTATCTGAGCTTTCAGCGCTGCTTTAAGAATATTTGAAAACTCTTAATCTAGTCTATTCCCTCAGATGACTGAGAAAGTTGAAATTCAGAGGTGAAGGGATGTGTGCCTAGGGTTGCGGTAGACGGGGACTAGAGCCCGGCTCTCTCTGCAGCCCTAGTCTAGGGTTCTCACCATTGCCTTACACTGCTCATCACTCCTGCCCCTCAGGCCTCTGCTGGACCAAGGCCCTACCTCTAGCTGCCAGTCCCAGAGGAATGGGAGGGGTGGGTGTGTGTGTGTGTGTGTGTGTGTGTGTGTGTGTGTGTGTGTGTGTGTGTGTGTGTGTGTGTGAAGAGACAGTGAGACAGAGTGATTCTGCGAGGCCTAGGAGGAGAAAGCAGCGTGCCAGACCCCTTGACCTCTTACCTGGTGAGTGATCCCCACGTCTGTGCGCAGTCCCATGGCCAAAACTTCCTCCAGACTGAAAGAAGAACCAATAAGGGGTCTGGGAGAGGAGACCTGTGCTTCTCCCATTCTTCACACCCTATGCTGGGATGTGCGTATGGGGGGTTTATGGGGATCATGCGGTATGGGGTGGGGAGGGGGCAGGGCAAGGTGGGAAACAAAGATGTGCAGGTAGGTGGTTCTTGGGGTAGAGGGGAAGCCTGAGGGAAGAGCCCTCAGGTGCTCACAGCGCCAGCTTGCCCAGGGGGATGCGCCTCCGGGTGCCGTGACCAAACAGCATCACCTCCTTCATCCAGTTGTCAGGCTCCAGGGTCTGGATCCGAGCCTCTCGGGTGTGGCTCCCAGCCCCCTGGGGTACAAATCGCCCATGGGCTCCTGACAACATCAACAACCACCCCCACTTTAATAGCAGCTAACACTGTGTGCTTGCCAGATGTTAAATCAGTGGTTCTCGAAGTGTGGCCCCTGGACCAACAGCATCTCAGATGCCAGAAATGTCAATTCTCAGGCCCTGTCCAATTCCAGAAATTCTAGAATTTGGCTGGGGCCCAGTTGGGTTTTAACAAGCAGTCCAGATAATTCTGATACACACTAAAGATCAAGAACCACAGTGCCAGGCACTATACCAAGTGCCTCAAAATACATACTTAACAGCTCTACAAAGTACATAGTATTTTTTCCCACACTTTACATATGAGGAAACAGAGGCTTGGAGAGCTTAATAAGGGGCCCAAGAGCACACAGCCATGACACTGCTCTCCTGAGTCATCCCACCTAAGGTTCACAGGGGACTCACCAGGTCCAATGCCAAGGTACTGACCGCACTGCCAGTAAGTCCAGTTGTGGGTACTAAGCGCCCCCTGTGGGAAGGGAGGGAATAGTCAGTGCAGAGAGAAGCGGGTGGGCCTGTCTCTGCTCAGGGAAGGGCACCTGGTTAGAATGTCCCACCATCTCAGGCTTCGGAAGCACCCTTCTCCCCAAAGAGCCACAACTGCCTGGTCACGCCTCAGCCTGCGCATGCCCCACCTTCAGCCACAGGACTTACATTCCGGGCGAAGTTGGAGACCTCATACTGGCGGAAGCCAGCCTCCCGAAGGACTGCCCGTCCCTCCTGGTACATCTCAGCGGCAAGTTCGGGGTCAGGGGCAGGAAGGGAGCCCTGCTGCACCTGGGTGAAGAGGGCGGTGCCCCGCTCCAGGGACAGCTGGTAGAGCGACACATGGTCATCACAGTGCCGCAGCAGTTTCTGCAGCTGCCCAAGCCACGGCCCCACGTGCTGTGCCGGCAGCCCCAGCATCAGGTCCACAGAAACACGCCCCGGGAAGTGGCGCCGGGCCTCCGCCAGCATCTGCAAGGCATCACTGGCCGAGTGTGTCCTCCCCAGCAGCTGGAGCTCAGTGTCATCTAGGGACTGGAGAGAGAGGGTCAGGTGTAAGCACGCAGGCTAGCTCAGAGGGAGACAGAAACACCTGACTGACCTTATTGCAGACACAGATACAGGGGAAACACAGGACATGGCAGGGGGCTGGAAGGTGGAAGGTCAAGCCAGTAGCAGGGGTACCATTCACTGAAGAGTCACTACGTGCAAAGCATTTCTACGCAGTGTCTAATTTATCCTTACAACCCTCCAACATGAGCTCCATTTTACAGACAACAAAACAAGTTCAGAGATGTTAAGCAGCTTGCCCAAAGTCATACAATGGCGAAGTCAGACCTGGAATTTAGGACTGACTCCAAAGCCAACCATCCTTTTTTGATTTTACTTTTTATTTTGAAATATTCTGAACCTATAGAAAAGTTGCAAGAAAAGCTCAACAAACACCTTCATCCAGATTCACCAATTAACATTTTGCCACATTTGCTTTCTCTCTCTCTAAATATACACATAGATTATTATTATGTTGAATCATCTGAGGGGAAGTTATAGACCAGGGCTGTCTAAAAGAACTATCTGTGAGGATGGAAATGTTCTGTATCTGCATTGTCCAATACAGTAGATACTAATCTCATGTGGCTATTTAAATTTTAAGTTAATTAAATTTAAATAATCACATTTTAAGTGCTTCCTAGCATGTGGTCAGTGGCTACTATATTGGTCAGTGCAGATAAAGAACATTTTAGTATAATATGGTAGCCACTGGCCACAGGCTAGTGAGCACTTGCAATGTGGCTATTTAAATGTAAAATACTTAAATACTGTACTCCTATACCCCTAAATAATTAAATGTGTATTTCCTAAAAACAAGGACATTCTCTTACACAACCACAATCTAATTATAGAGTTCAGGAAATGTAACACTGATACAATCCTGTTGTCTAAGACACAGTCTTATTCAAAGTTGGCCAACTGTCCCTAAATGTCTGCTGTAGTAATTTCCTCTTCCCACCCCAATCCAGGATCCAATCAGGGGTCACACATTGCATTCAGCTATCATTGTCTCTTTAGTTTCCTTTAGTTGAGATCCTCATCCTGCCTTTGTCTTTTACAACACTGACATTTTTGAAGAGTACAGGCTAGTTGTTTTAATTTTCTATTTTATTATTATTTTTTAAATTATTTATTTATTTTGGCTGTGCCGGTTCTTAGTTGCGGCACATGGGATCTTTAGTTGTGGCATACGAACTCTTAGTTGCAGCATGCATGCGCGATCTAGTTCCCCAACCAGGGATTGAACCCGGGACCCCTGCACTGGGAGTGTGGAGTCTTACCCACTGGACCACCAGGGAAGTCCCCGGGCTAGTTGTTTTTAAAAATGTCTCTTAGGGAAGGAAGCTGCATGGCGCGGCCTAAATAAATAAATTAATTAAAATGTCTCTTAATAAGTCCTAGAGCTCTCCTGTACATCACTGTGTTTACAGCTAGCAATACTGTACTGTACACTAAAAAACTGTTCAGATGGTACTTCGATCTCATGTTACCTGTTCTTACGACACACACACAAAGTCTCTTAATTTAGGTGTTTCCTCACAATTAGATTCAAGATATGTAAGCATTTGGGGCCAGAGTATCTCACAAATGGCGTGTCCCTCTCAATATGTCTCATCAGGACAAAGCCCTGACCCCAAACTCTATGGTAAATGGTACATGTATTTGGAGCAGGGAGACAATACTGGCTATGGAAATATCACGGGCCAATCTGCGAGGAACGTGTTTCTCCCCCCACTTAAAAACCTTCAGTGACTCCCTTGTCACCACTAAGCGAAACCCCAAACTTCCTAGTATGGTGCTGAACACTTCTGGGCCCTAGCTTGCAGCCTTGTCCCCAGCCTCTCCAGTCACAAGGAATGGCTCACAGGTCTCCCAAAACATGCAAGCTCTTCCAAATCCTGTGTCTTTTCCTCCCACACCCTCATCTCTGGTGGACTCCTCTTCCTCATTCAAACATCATGTCCTTCAGGAAGGTTTCTATGATCTTGTCAGACTGAGATGGCCTTCAGGCTGTACTCTGAAAGCATTTTGTAGAGACCCCCTTTATAAGCAGACTTTATCATGCTGCAGTGATCTGACCACCTGTTGGCCTCCTCCTGGGTCTCCAATCATGTAACAAATCTTTTTCAAGCATCTACTATGTGCCAAGCACATAGTGCTTGGAACACTGTGATGAACACAAAGGCATACACGATCCCTGCCTCACAGGGCTTGTGCTCTACCACAGAAACAGACAATTAAGTACTTACAAAAGTGTCACCATACACTTTTTAGTGCCTACAGGTTCCTGACACCCAGAAAGAGCTCAATAAATGTTTGCCCAATGAATGAACGTGATCACCCAGGAGAGACATCCTGGGTGCCCTAGGACGAGGTGGGTGAGATGGGTTACCTGGAGGCCAATGGACAACCTGTTGACTCCTGCTGCCCGGAATGCTGCCAGCCTGGAGCTTGGGGCCGAAGTGGGGTTGGCCTCCAGTGTGACTTCAGAGTCTGCAGGCAGGTGAGTTGCCTGGGCCACTGCCTCCAGGACAGCTGCCACAGTGTGGGGGCTGGCCAGACTGGGGGTACCCCCACCAAAGAACACAGACTCCACTCTA